CTTCCCCAGCTGTATGAGCTCGATGCAGACCCCAAGAGGAAGGAATTTCTGGATGACCTGTTTAGCTTCATGCAAAAGAGGGGTGAGTGGGATAAAGACCCTGGTATTGCCCCCACTTACCAGGTCTGAGGAAACCAGGTTGGGTTCTCCCTGCAAAGGCCTGAGCTTGGCAGCACCTGTCCTTTGGGCCTCAATAGCGTCTTTAACCTCTGACCCTGCCCCCCTCCTCCACCCCAGGATTAATTAGCGGCCAACCCACTGGCAGGTTAATGAGTGCGGGATCAATTGGGAGGGTGGGAGGAGGAACCAGCGGGGGGCTGGCCAGGGGTGAGAGGGTTCCAGGACTGGAGGCCTGAGGATGCTTTAGTTCTCTATCAAGGGCCCTTCCACCAGCCTCGTCTCTCCTCAGTCTTCTCTTGCTTCAGGCAGGAGACACCCTATGTACTCTACAGCAGGAAGGACTCGGGACTAGACTGAAGGAAGGACTTCCCAAGGGGTGGGCTGGGGACTCTGTGAGTAGGGGCTGTAGAGCAGGAGGAATTCCTTTCTAGGAATCTCAGAGCTGGAAGAGAATGCAAGAAGGGTCCAGGAGGGCATCAGGGTGGGCAGCAGTCCATCACTTCGGCTTCTCCCCAGATTCATGGGACTGAACACTGACTCATTATCTCTCTCTACAAAGCTAATTAACTCACTCTGAGCGCCGCCTGATAAGCCGCTAATTAACTGGCTGCACTGCTCCCCCCTTCCTTAGTGCAGCTGCTGGCCCAATTCCCTCGGTTCTCACCCCAGGCCCAGCATCCTGTCTGGTCCCTTCTTTCTCAGGGACACTTGGTGGAGCCCCAAGTCCTCTTGCTTCCCAAAGAGGCCCAGTCATTCTTGCTCCAGCGCCCCTTCTCTGGCCCTCCCTCGAAGCCTTCCCTCCACCTAGAGGCAGGGTGTGTGTGAACCATCCCAGCACTGCCTGCCCGCCTACTCCCCACTAGCTCTGTCTCCGCCCCTCCCCTTCAGCTGCGGGGAGAGGGGGTCCCGCGGGGCCGATAATTTTCCCCCATTAATCAGGCCGCAGCTAATTGTTCGGGTCCAAAGGCGGTGGCGGGAGGGGACGGGATCGGTAAGGAATTAACTGGGGCCCATCGCTCAGCGTAGACAGGCCCCTTTGTCAGGGCTGACCGGCGGGGGCGGCGCGGGCTGCGGAGTCGGCGGGCCGAGGCGGGAACTGATTTTTCTCCCGCTCGCCATACCCCGGCCTCGGGCAGTCCTCCGGGGGCTGCAGTTTAGGGGAGTCCGGCTCTTCAGTACTGTCCGGAAGTCCTTCCTACGGTCTACCCCAGGGGGCAGCAAACGAAAGCTTTAGGGCCAAACCCGGCCGCTGTGAGATAAGAATGCTTAAATAGTGGGGGGGACACGGGGGCGGGGGTGATAGCATCTCCAGACGTGTGAAATTCGACTTTCAGAGTCTGCAAAGTTTTGTTGGAACACAGCGGCTCCCACTCCTTTAAGTATCCCCCACGGCTGCCACAGTGGCAGAGTTGAGTAGCTGTTGACGGAGACTGGCCTGCAGAGCCTAAAATATTGACCATCTGGCCCTTTACGAAGAAGTTTACCCACCTCGGTCTAGCCTCCCGCCCTTCCTGCTAAGAGGGAGGCCCTGGAGCCTCTACCTGTAATCCCACGTCCGCATCTCTCCCTCTCGCCCTTTCTCCTCGGGGTCCCGTCCTGTACCTACGCCTTGTGCAGGCATCCAACTCCTTTAGTCCCTCGGGATACCCGCAGACGGGGTCCTGGTCCCAGTGTCCTCTCTGCCCACTCCCCACCAGGGACGCCGGTGAACCGCGTGCCCATCATGGCGAAGCAGGTGCTGGACCTGTACGCGCTGTTTCGCCTGGTGACTGCCAAGGGCGGCCTGGTGGAAGTCATCAACCGCAAAGTGTGGCGGGAGGTCACTCGCGGCCTCAGCCTGCCCACCACCATCACCTCGGCTGCCTTCACTCTACGCACCCAGTAAGGCCAGGGGCGCGAGCAGAAGGGAAGCGGGCGGGGCGGGGGCGGGGCCAGAGGCGCGCTCCCAGGTGTGGACTTGCGCAGCTGGCCCAGCCTCCCACACACCACCCCATCCCCTGTCCGCCCCTAGGTACATGAAGTACCTGTACCCTTACGAGTGCGAGACGCGGGCGCTCAGCTCCCCGGGGGAACTCCAGGCCGCCATAGACAGCAATCGGCGCGAGGGCCGTCGCCAGGCCTACACTGCCGCTCCGCTCTTCGGCTTGGCTGGGCCGCCGGCTCGTGGCGCT